GGATGAGAACAACTTTTGGGAAAGCAAGGCCATGTGAAATTCAATGGAAACGTCAGCTCAACTCATATCACTGTGGGGAAATTCTACTACCAGTCCTTCATCACCTTACACGAAATAGGGTGAATACATCTCATTACTTTAGTTCTCACAATTTGCTTATTATTTGACTATATTAACCATAAAAAGCATAAACCGGCACGAAAAGGACTAAGTGTGTTGAGAGTAGGACTAGCCTAAATAAATTTCATAGAAATTAGATGACAGGTTTCGTGCAAAATCTGAGAACTAACAAGGGTGGTCACACTTCTTTTCTGCCTGCAATGAGACTAAACCAGATAGTTGTGTTGGGCTTAAGCTTGGCAGATTGTTTTGCCAAATAAATCTATTGGCTCATGTTCCTGAACCTCACGAATATATAAACACATTAGTGTAGTACTAAGTTTTTGTTAATTCTCCAGATGTCTTACTGTAAGCAGAATTGAATTAAAAGCGCAAAAATAAGCTAAGTGCCAAGAATCAAAGTTGTAGCATACCTTGTCCTCTATTCTGTGCAATTTTGCTATGTCACTTTATATATTTCTCCTTTAAAGCCCATTCAATGAAGCTAAATGGTACAATCCCAAAGTGAAAATAAATTAAATCGTGGGAACTTAGATGTGTTAACCTTTCTACATCAGTAAGCGTAAAAGTGAACGTCTTGCATCCTAGACATCCAACAATTATTGTCAGACGTTAATTTATAAAATGACATCATGGTCAAAACAGACTCCACGTTGGAACGCAGATGCTTTTTCCATGAAATACTCACCCAAGCAATAAGTTCAAACCAGCCTAGTTTTGTACGAGCAGAAAAGAAGTGTGACCACCCTTGTTAGGTCTCGGATTTTTCTCGAAACCTGTCTTCTAATTTCTATGAAATCCTGCAAGATAAACCTAATTTTATCACATTTAGTCCTTGTCGTGCTGGTTTATACTTTTTACGGTTGATACGGTCAAATAATAAGCGAATTGTAATAACTAAAGCAAACTTATTCCGTAGCCTTCTGGAGCAGCGAATGCTCCAAGGACCCAGACAAATATTTTTAATATTAATTTGAAAGTCTCTCGAAGATTGGATATCCGTGAAAGTTGCATTTAGTCAGCAATGGTTGAGTCACCGCACGAAAAATTAAAATGGATGATTTTACTGACTACCGAATTATATTAGGAAAATTTCTGGAAATTTATATTTTATTACTAACTGGCTACATTGTCGGCGATGCCTTGACAATGTTAATCTAAAAAAGGGATTCGAAGTAGGGCATTATTTCAGAATTAACGAGTCATTGATCGCAACTGGAATTTAAGGCAAGAAAGTGAGGCTAGATGGACATCACTAGAAAATGACATACAATTTAAGGGCATTGCAATTAATATTTTTCCAAGGTAAAATATCAGGATAATCCGAAGCTAGTCTGAAGCTTAAAATCAGATATTTTAAATATGAAAAATCTTGATACACATTCATTTCGAATATAATAAGCTATGATATAGTTCAACTCGGCGATTCAACTAATTTTAGGTGAGGTAGCCATTGCAGTTTAGCTCAATCTAGATGAAAATGGGAAATTTCAGCTATCAGATCTCAACTCCTATTCATCGACAAAGGGTATCTAAGTTTTATTTTAAGTTTCAAGCCTATTTAATTTAATTTAAGACAATTTTTGTGAATACCGATTCGGCAGTAAAGATTCCAATTTTAATTTATCACATCAGGTTGATGCTTTCTTATATGTCCCACATTGAAGACGAAAACGTCGCCTGATAGCAGAGCCTTTCTAAAATAAATAAAATGAAAGCCTTACGATGCCATTCGATTTCACACAGCCTTACTGATCAACTGGCTTTCTCATCAAGGCTGGATTGCAATTTTCAGTTCCCCTGAACTTCTCCACCACCCAAAATTGGATTTGAAATTGTGGCCTCCGTGTCACTCCATCACAACGATGGCTGACAATGGTGCAAAAGACAGATGCGATTTGAAAGTAAACCAAGCCTTGAGATTACTGTCAATAAGGCAGCATTCTGATACACTGTGTAATAATAAATCGACGATATCAGTAGATCTTTAGTAATAACTAGTGCTGAACTTATGGGGAAAGTAGCATAATACAAAATGAAACCCAGCCCTCCCTATAGAATTATGTATATTTCTCTCTTAATGTAATAGTAATTTATCATTGCATGAGGTTTTACTTAGATCTGTACATAATCGATTATATTCACTTATATATAAAGAGATGTGAAGAGAAGCTGTTCTTCACAAGATAGACTAAAGCTTAGCTCTGATTCATTGAGGTTGCAGGACGGTGAGCCGAGGTCTTGTTTACGCAATCTAAAAGTTATAAGTCCAATTCCTTCGGTATCCGGTGGGGCTAATTTACGAAGCCTCTCCACTTGTCTTTTAAAACGATATGAAAGGCATGTCAGCATCAAGCTATACATTCATTTTTGGGCTTTTCGCAGTCTAAAAGCATATCAATTTCGTCCTTCATTTCATAAATCCTCGAGTATTCCTTAGGCCCCGGGATAAGTCATCTGAACTGTTTCCCTTCCGAAAGATATTTTACGTAAATCTTGATCATATCTTATTCACGATAATTAAATAAAAATTGACTTGCATTTAGTTTTAGTTTTCCGTTTGAAATTGTTCAAGCTGGTAAAATACAGTAATTATATCGAATTGCTAGTCTTAGTTCAAAGATGCAACATCAAAATACAGCCTTTA